TCTGCCAAATTTTCCTGTGAAAGTTGTAGGAGGTGATTGTATCCATTTCTGAAAAACAGTCTATTAGGAGCATGAAATATCTCAAATGCACACTTTTGACAGGTGGCAAGGTGGGAGAATTGAGATGCAGAAATACTGATGTTAGACCTTATAAATAATACTAATGATGTTATTTAAATTCTTGTGGGAAGGCAAGAGTAATTATACTGAGCTTCCTCGGAGTTGTAGAATGCCATTTTATCATTTGTACTTTTGATAGTAATCTAGAAAAACGCTTCTGAAGTTATTACTTTTTATTATGTCGGACCCTGCTGTACTAGCTGTTGTACAGGCAAGTAAGAAAAGGACAGTTTCCACTACAGAAGGTCTAATAGGCTAAGATGAATATGCAAGAAAATAATCTTTTAAGATAAACATACATTCAGTTCTGGAAGAAGCATTATTATTTACATTGAAGTTACAGCTGGGAGGGGAAACTGCCATTAAATTAGAATGAAGGTGGACTTCTTCCTATTCCAGTTTAGAAACTGACGTTGTCTACATTAACATGCCTAAAAGTCAAGCATGTAGCCTAGCTATGCTAGTGAACCTGGACTAGGAATCAAAGTTGTCTAGGGCTCCACTAGAAGCAACGTAGGAGATAGGTAGTTCAGCTCACCTGGCTGAGGACAGAATGGGTCAGCTCTGGAGATGCCTTTTTGCATTGACTGAAGCAGAAGCCTAGTTCTATCGCAAATTAAAACAAAAAAAGAAAACCAAAACTAGCCTGGGTGGCTAACTTCAAAAGGCAAGGTGTGGGCTAATTGTGTGGAGGCAGGAATTCTAGACAATATATAAGAAGTATTTATTGAAAAATCAAGAATATTTTTGCAAGTTAAAGAGGAAAACAATCCATATTTCATTTACAAGTAATAGTAGTAATAAGTAATTCATGTTTTTAAGGGCAACTTCTTCCAAAATTTCAAGTTTAACTAACTAACTAGTATATGTTCTCACCATTCCATTTTCCTTTTAGGACAGAGAGGAATATATCCAGTAAAAATACAAAGCAGTAGGAAATGAAAAAAGTCAATTTAAAAATCAATGCTCCCTGATTTTTTCTATCGACTCCTCTTAGAAATAACAGCCGTAATTTTTATAACTGAAATTGATCATAAAAAAATCTCAGTGTGTTCAATTATTTATTTTATGCTTTTGAAAACACTTTTGGGTAATGGATTTTACTTTTTCACCTTTCATATGCCTCATTCTTTCACACAGAAAAATAGAAACCATTCAAAAATGGGAGATGATAGCATTTTTTTGTTTTTGTTCATACTTGTGCTTATGAGTTGGTACTGTTCTCACAGATACACATGATGGGCTTAAAGCCATAGTAAACACAATACAACATAAGAGGTCATTTTTAACAAACTGATTTCTATACAGAACTAAATGTTTATATAATATAAGGGCTTTGTAGAGATTTAAACCAGGAAGTTAATTTATTTTACATCAGATTTTAGAAAGCAAAGTATAGAAGGGAAGGTTTGGGAGCATTAAAACAACAATGAAATCAATTGTAATAGTCAATGAAAATGTAATTGGTCCCTAAATCCCAACATACATCACTTTCATGTGGCTATGTTAGAGATGTAGGATGTGAATGAGCAAAGAAATAAGTACTCTTGGTGATACAATGCAAAAAGAGAAATCAAATACAGACCATGACTCTGTTGACCTGTTGCACCTATTAGCCTCTGTTGAACCTCCATGGAAAAGCATCAACACTAACCTGAAAGGGTCTACGTGTTATTTGGCTTGGAGATAGGTAGCAAAGTGACTCAAATGGTGCAGCAAACATTCACCAAAGAATGGCAAAATAGCCTGAAGATTGGTCAAATTACACAAAGGGTAAGAAGTGTCAAGAAAAATCTAGAGAAAGGGCTGCTCAGTTACAGTGGATAAAAGGAACCTTTGGACACCTGTTAAAATACCATGTCCATCTGGAGGTATTTCCCTTAGCATGCTTTGTTCTGTAAACATTTAATGAGACATTAAGCCCTGCAGCAGAGAGTTCTGGTGGCGCACTGGAGGACAAACTCATGGAGTCACCAGTCTTTTTACTCATTCTGCTACCTCTCCCTGACTTTCTCAGGACTTGTGAAGAGCGTGGGGGATATACCAAGTTAAGAGGTAGGCCCATTTTGAGGTAAATCCTCTTTTCATGCCACCATATGGAGGGGATACCTCTGGAAATGACATATTGGTAAGATTGCCATTGAAGACGCTTGCTCAAGCCCTTCTTCCAATACGCACTCCTATAGTTTCCCATTAAAATGCTCTATTGCTAGTGAAGAAGTTTACTAATTTATTAGCAGTTTATTACTAATCAGCTATGAGATGACTGAATTCTTAACAGCTGGTCTAGTACCCATCAGTCCTTTTTAAGTGCCAAAGGTTTGTCTCAGTAAGCATTTTTTACATTCCATGTTACACTTGTTACACATACCATGTTATAACTTTCACAATTTTCGGCGCATCCTTTTTCCTCATGGAGAATCTGGTGAGTATTTTATACTGTGGAACTCTTCCTGTCAAGACTTTAGAACTATTTTATTTAGAAGCATTGATTTTACAGTCTTTTAAAAGAGTTTTTTAAAGCTTGGCCCAAATTAGGAAAAATACCTGCAAGCTAAAAAAATTGTTCATGGAAATGAAGATAATCACAATCTGTGTGGTAGGGTCTCCTCTTGCATTATTGATTGGGCATACATGGTCATTCAATCAATATAGTCTTCTTCCCAAAATTTTGGAATTATAACTCAGCATTCTGCCATCTGGACTAGAAGTCAGTCTTCGTCGAGTGCACTGAGAAGATTTTAAAGGGTAGACAGTCTTCTGAAAGTTTCTAGCCCCTGGGAACTAGATCAATTAAAATTTCTCAGCGATGAATGAGAGTAGTGAAATAATTTCAGTCTAAAACTTTTTCATGACTTCTTTTTTTTTTAAATTCAGGGTGTTTTAAGATGTAATTTTTATATGTCTAAAACACCTGGAATCCAGTGAGGAAATAATGAAAGTGCTGTACAGACAGAGTGAAATCACTGTTCTTTATTTAAAGATTTGGAAGGGAAAAATAAAGATACGACACAATAGAAAATAAAGGATATGACACAATAGATGAAAGTGTCAAAGAAGCCAGGCCAGGGGCTGGAGGGAGGATGAAAACAGTAGTATCACAGGCAGAAGCTATGGTTAATGAGAAACTATGGTTACAACTTGCTAGTTCAATTTCTGCTACAGATTTTTTGTGAAGGCTTCAAAGACACTTTGAGCTAAACCTTCAAAAAGTTCTTGTTTACTGTGTCGGAGTATTCTGCTTGTGGGAAATAGGATTCAAATAGGATTCAAATAGGATTCATGAGAGACACTGTTTTGATTGGGGAGCGACCCATTATTGATTGAGAAGAGGGATTTGTCTTAATTCTGGCACTTTTGTAAAACTCAGTACCTTCCTGTCTAGGTAGTTCCCATTCCTATCTATGCACATGTTATTTTGGGCTGCCATAAGGTCCTTCATTTTAGATGTCACAGCCTTAAATCTTTTGCGTTTGGATGACTAATTGCTTTCTTCTAAAGCATGTGGAAGGATCCTTTAATAAAAGTAGTCAAGTTGCAACTCCATAATAGAGATTGTGTCCTTTTAAGATATTGATTTTGGTTTAACAAAAAGTGTATTAATGACCATGGAAAGAAGGAGTAAAATCAGTCCTCCATGTTCTTTCTAGTCTTCCAAATTTTCCATGTTGTAGCAAAAATGTCTTTCCTGTCTTTCCTACTTTCATGAATAATCTAAGCAGTCATTCCTTGGGTATCAGATTAAGGCTAGGAAATGGCTAGGATAAATACATGTATCTGTTCCAGGTTTCAGAGCAGAGAGCTGTGATAATGACAGGGGCAATACGATAGATGAGTTGGAGATCAAACTTTCTGGCTAGGCAAGCAACACAACCTTCTTGTGAACATGGACCTCACTTGAATAAACTAGTACCATGGCTCTTTTCCTGCTGCAAAATGTGACATGGCACAGAAACATAAAAACTGTGTTGGATCCAATGCTTTTCCAAAGAGTCGGGTTTACTGGGCACAGGGAGCCGAGCATGCACAGCAGTGAATCACTGCCTGTTCCCTGGTGAAAAACAGCAGCCAGGAGCAGGTGTGCATTGCCAAAACAGCTCGTGCCACCTATGCCTGCTGCTGCCTGTCCTGCTGCTGCTTCCTTGGAGTGTCCGGGGAGGGACTACAGGCCAGAAGATTTATTCTGCTTTGTCAGCCTGCTCCCAGTTGCTGTTTTTCTCTGCTTGTGCTATCTGTTGGGAGAGGGACCTCAAGGACCCCAGGAAAGGCATTGCTGGGAGTGAGCAGCAGGTCAGGCAGGTTGTCCTGGCAGGCAGTGTACCAGCTCTGTTGTGGTGATCTTTGCTACAGCTAGTAATAGATATGATGGCATGCTTGATTTACAGCTGGCTTAGTGTGGTGGCCACCACAGAAAACTCTATGAGAAGAATCAGGTCATCAAGGCTGGGTAGAGGCTCTACTGAAAAAAAAAAAAAAGAAAAAAAGAAGGTGAGTTAGGCTCTATCACATTTGGAAACAGACCTCGGTACCTGTCAATGAGAGGCAGCTACAGTGATATACTTGATGGTGAAGACAGTGTCTGTCCTGGAGAGCACCAGGCAAACTCCAGCTGATGAAAAGTAAAAGAAAGAAAAAAGCAAGTGACTTAGATTTGAGTCAGCGAAAGAGAATGCCATCAGGGTGTAGCTTGAATATTTTGGTCCATTCCAAGCTTATTATTTTTTAGCAATCAAAGACAAGTCTTGTACATTTTGTATTCAATTTTATTAACATATTCTGACTTTTTGCCCTTTTCTTGTGCTATATAATTGTATGCAAGTTCCATTTGCCAGTGATCTGATTGGATGTCTCTCTTTTCTTTTTGGTTTCTGTAGGATAAAATCATGGGTAGATAAGATGCAAGAAGATCTCGTAACATTAGCACGAACTGCAAGCGGAGTGGACCAGCTTGCTGCGGTGAGTAAGAAGACATGCCTTACACTGCAGTAACTAGAAAGTGAAGCAAATGGTGTGCATCATCTAGGCATTACGACCATTTCATCCCAACATAGTAAAAAGATTTTGGGGAATTAAACTCTGCAGTGCTTACCGAGAGAGAAATGAATAACACAGACATCCATCAATTCACTCTCTTAATGTTGCAGCACTGCTCATTGCTAATATTTAACCAGCTTTGCGGTATCAGACATAAGGCTTACCATTGTTGCAACACTTTCACCTGAAGCAAGCGCTTTTACGTTATATGTTTGTCAAATATAGTAATCAGGAAGCAACCATTCACGGCAGTGGAAAATTCTGCTCTCTATTAACAAGGGAGACTATTTTTCTGACACATATTTCCTGAAATGAGGCAGCTTTTGGTTAGAAGAAACATAGATGAGAATGAAATCTACTTTTATTCAGCTGTTCCAATTTAACCCAAAGTGTGTTTTAGGGAAGAATTTACAATTCTTCTGTCATTGAGAAGAAACTTTTGTGCTAAGTTGCACTCATAGAAGGTAAAAACACATCTGAGATTGAAGAAAAATGAAGTCACAATTCAGAAAATGTCAGGATTACGCTGCCTATACAACTTTGTGTGTATGTGACATCATGATCCAATATGCAACCACATGATCATACATTTACCTCTCCCTATCCCTGCACAAGTCCCATGGCTCCTTCTTTGAACCGATGGGTCTCTGGGTTGATGTAGGACTGTATAATGAAGGGAAATTTTGCTGTTATGTCAGGAAAAGAAGTTATTGTTTCAGCCAACAAAAGCCCTTGGTGCTGGGGAACTGAACATGAAGCCGTGAGATTTGGTTTTCAGAAGTCATAATCTCCCCAGATCATCCATGAAATGAATAGTAGCTGTGTTTCAAAGCCATTAAGAAACACACAGAAAAATCAAGTGTGAAGTTTCTCAGACTTAACACTGTATATTAATGTATTCCTTTGACCTTAATGACTTTTTACCCAGACATCCACGTGTCTCATGTGAATCCTGTCCCAGAAGGACATTTTCTCTTTACTGACTATAAGAAGAGGCTAGATGACTAGCTCAGATGTCCATGTTTACATTGTGGAAGCTTCAGTTTAGGTGAGATCACCACTGTCCTATAGAAGGAAGGGCTGTGTCACTGCATGTACATGAGGAACATAACTGAAGGTTGCAGAGATTATTTTAGTTCTGGCCTTTCCTAATATTTGAGTACTTCATATTGCAACACAATTTAAGGCAGATGCTTTAGATGCTTTTTTTAATCTTGGAAAACCCCAAACAAACTGAAAACGAAATCTTGAAATCCTAACAAAACATCAGATTGATACACACGTGTTTCCAGCATAGGATCTCAGCAACACAGAAATGTCTTTCACTTGAGATTTCTGAAGAACCGTAAGGTTTACCCAGCATGGAACACTGATGGGAGTTTTTGTAGGTGGATTGCACGCGTATCAGCTGACAGAGAACAATGAGGCTTGTGAATCATGTCTCTCTCTCCAGGTTTTGGTGAGGAGTTTCTGCTAAGAGGCGGGAGGGCCCTTTTTGCTCATCTGATCTAGGTGTGATCTGTTCTCTTCTGCACTTGCCGTGTCTCTTTTTTCCCCACCGTCTCCTCATTCAGCATCGTACCTCTGATCCACCAGACTTTCCATTCCATTCTTGCTGTGCTGCGTGGGCTATCTTTCATCTCTCCTCAACATATTTTATGTTTCTGTCTCAGTTTCTACCTTTGCTGCCTGGCCAGTCTGCCTTTCTGCCTTACATTGTCTTTGTATCCCTATTTTAGGGTTTCTCTTCTCAGCTTTTTCCAGTTCAGCACCTCTCTCTGGACTCTTCAGTTTGTCTTAGCATTTCCGAAACATTCTGTCCAGGTGTGTGTGGCCAGCCTGTCCCAATACTCCTATTGCATCTCCTCTCTTCCACAGGTATTTTTCTTCCCCCTTCTCATGTTTCCCTCCATCATTAGTTCTCAGTCCCAGACCTGTAGTTTTCTCCTGTGTGCTTTTTCTATTTCTCCTCCCCTTCCAGTCTCTTCTCTCCTTATTCTTTGCCTGCCATTTTCCAGTCTGTTATCTCCTACTTCCATATCCCAATCTCTTGCCCTTTGTTCTTCATTCAGTTTTCATCTCCTCTTTCTCCCACTGCTTAGACCACAAGGGTGTAGAGATCACCTGAGAGACCACAACAAGCCTGAGCTTTAGCTGCAGAGGAGGTGTGACATCCTCTAGGAGTGATGCTCTCTCTGGGTTGGAATACACCTGTGTGTAGGTTCTCAGGGATTTAGCTGATAAAATCTCTGCAGTGACCTGCAGATGCTTTTCAGGCTAAAATTCATTAAGCACCAAGGAGTAAAAAGTGTATCTTTGAATACATGTGTTGAGTTTTTAATCTACAGTGCAGAGGCAATAGGGTATTTCAAAGGGAAATGAGTTACAGAGGATTTCTAACTTGAGCAAAACAATGAGTTAATGTCTCAACCATTTTGCCTGACGTTTCCATGCAAAGACCACATAGTAAAATAGATAATGAAAAGCCAAGAGATTGACGCTGTCACTCTTTTTTTTCCCTGAGGAAAAAGTTAGTTTATGTAGTTAATATTCGGCAAACTTACAAGCTGCTAAAACAGTCTTATAATGAGAACTGCTGGGCAAACTTAATAATATGTAGTGCTACCAGCTATACTTAAAGTATACCACAGTGACATTCACGCTGAAAAAGAAAACATTAATCTGTGAATACTGTAGGTAAGTTTCTTTTTCAAAGCCAAAATTTATAGCACACTTCAAGCAAATAATAAGTTATCTCAGAGGGTATCCACAAGGTGGTCAATATGTGCTTGTAATCCTAGGATTAAAAGCATGAAAGGGGGATGTTTCCAAGTAGAATATCCCTCTATATCAAAGCTGTTTGTTTGACCTAAATTGCATGATATCTTTCTCTCGCCACAAGGTTTTAATTAGCTCTCTTGCCTGCAAGGGAGAATGCAAAGCCCAGGGAGGTGTGAGCCATGCAGTCTCTCCCTCTTTCCTCTTGTTTACAGGGTATTGTCGCTTTCCCACTTTTGAATGACATCCTTTTTTTTTCTGCTCACTGCCTATTAATCTCTTCTGAAATGAACCACAATCTTGGAAAAATGGAGACTACAAGACATTAAAAACAGCATGCTTGCATGCCTGTCACTTTTATTCACAGAACTTGCCTTCAGTTGCTCAAGCTTTAAAAATACTTAACAGTCAGACTGAATTTTCAGCTTTGTTTCTGTTTTCACTTTTTCTAACTCCAGAATTGTTTGGACCAAGTCTGTAGTCTTCATGTTTCTGGAAAACTTCAAAAAAGAAATACATTTGGTTTTTCTGTTCCTCCTCCCTCCAAAAGCAGAATGATTAATACAAAAAGAAGGAACAGAGTGCTCCTATTATAAAATAGTAGACATGACTTTCTGTGAACAGCTGTAGTACCAGAGTGTGTAGGGTTGGAAAGGTGTACTTTGGTCAGACAGATTTTTGGTAGGAGAAATACCTTTCCTTGTTCTAGGGAAAGTCAATTTTAATTTGGCCAAGTGATGAGGTTAAAGCTCATAGCAAAGTTGTGTAACAGATTATAACCATTTCACAGCCTGGTCAGCCTCTCCCTGGACTCAGGGAAAGAAGTCCCACTGATTCAGCTGAAGTTACAATCTGTGTCTGCTTCATGAAGCAGATCTTCTATGAAGATCTCTAAAGTGACCAAGATGATAGCTCTCTAAGTAGCACAATTACTACGTTCTCAGCTGGAGTGAGTTAATTCTTCAAAAACCAGGGCTTTTTCAGTTAGCTACTGTGCCATGCAAGTTTATGGTGTTTCCATAACTTGTTGAAGATATCTCAGGGTTCATCAGTGCTATATGTGCTTGTATGTGCATTGGATGTCTGTGGGTCTTTGTGCTGCCAGAAATTATACTACACAATGGTCTCTTCTGGAGGACTGTGAAATATTTTCTTCTGGCTGTCATGGAGAGGCATAGGAGCACTGCCTGAACTCTCAAATAATTTGATTTTAGACTGGCAGAGCTTTTGACCAGAGAGAATGTAAAACTTAAAGTGTAATAGGTACTTCCAAAGGAATAAAAAAATTCAAATCTAAACCACCATTAAACTCAGGTGAGGGACTTGTTAGGTGAATAGCAGACCTGTTGAGATCAGTACCTATGTAAAAGTCTATTTATTGTGCAGTGTGGACATAGATATCCAGGGAGAGCATTTTTTGTGTTTAAGGTGTTTACATTCAACATGTACTCAATTTAATGGAATCCTGTTTAAGGAGAGGAATCTCCTCAGAGAATTCCCTTTTCTTTGTTCATTGACAATTTTCTTACAGTGACTTGGAATCACAATCTTGTCCTAGTGACTAACCACACTTCCTCTTGCTTTTGCACATATAATAGAGCCATTGTGAACCATTGCAACTTTCATTAATCACAACTTTTGAAAATATCTGTATAGCAAGGATACATAATAATATACTCATGAATATTCCACATAGTGTTAAAAAAGAGAAAATATTTGGGAATTGATTGAGTGAATTACTTCAATAGTGACTATGCTTCTGAAAATATGAATATGTTTATGTCAACGGACATTTCACACACCTTTTCTCTTATTAGCAATCATGACAGCAATATAATGTCTGTAGGAAGCAAAATTGTGAAAGAAAGCTTGGATGCCATTAAATTAGGAGTTCTACATTGAGGCTACACTTATCCATAGCCTTAACCAAGCAAACCAGTGTAAGTGGAGTAGAAGGAACAGACAGAATGGATATGTGTAGGAGATGGAGAGGCAGGCAAGAGCTGAGGTTTATTATGGTGCACAGAGGAAACACGATCTTTTAATTTATAGATGCACCTTTACTCACTAATTGATGTTTGCCATACAGAGAGAATCCTGATCCAACCAAGAATTGAGCTCAGATTTTCATTTTTCCATTTAGA